GACCAGCGCTTCTACCTCCTAAAGCTGCCGATTGCAAGGGCAGCAATGGCCGTGGGAGGGGGGCTCCTGGCCTTCTCTTGCATTCGTATTGTGGTTGGCGTTCTGCGGTTACCATGGCATTTCCCAGCATGGCTGCTACTCGAGTGCATCCTGGACGTAGTTATTGCAGTTGGCATAGTGCCTGCTCTGTACTATTTCTTCCATTTTCTGCTGGGGGTCTATAATTCATCAGTGTGCAAAGAGAGAGTGCAGCTTTATCAAAGCAAAGGCTATCCGGGCTTTGGGTGCAGTCCACATGGGGCAGAGATTGCTGTTGGCCTCTCAGGCTGCATAGCTGTCCTGGCATACCTGCTTAGCGCAGGCCTAGCTGTCAGGGGGTACAGAACAGTGCACAAGCTGAAACAGAAGCCAGTACAACACTGTGAGCGTTAGAGCGATTCCTCCACTCCAGTAAGGTCATGATTTTTGCCAGCCTCCCTATTGAGATGAAGCAGTATGTTTTTCCTTGTTTCTGTGCAGTGCTTCCTCAAGGCCGCAGCAGAACACACATTGAGTGTACAGCTCTCAATAGGGTAGAGTCGAGCTGTTCCCAATTTGAACTTGTATTACTGAATTATTAGCGGACACAAAGGTAGTCCGAGGGCTTGTCTTCATGCGGTGGCCGTCCCAGTAGAGAATGACCGTCCTAGTGTAGTTCATGAGCAAGCTGCCTGCTTCTCCGGCTGCCTTTCCACCCCCCACATCGGGCATCTTGTGCTCCTCCTGTGAGATCTTGCTACAAGCGCTGCTACTACATGTGTCTGCTGAGGAGCAGCTTCTGTAGCTGAAGCTGTTTTTACGAAGGGCAAGTGACTGTTGAGCGAGAACACAGCTCCTGGCTGACAGAGGCCCATAGCTGCGGCCGCTAATTACTGCTTTCTTGTAGGTCTCTCAGAACTAACAGGGTAGTTTGAACATGGCATTTATACAGCCCTCAGGGAATCCTGAAATGAACTTGCAAAATTATGAATACACTCAGCCTAATTAGTGACACAATGCCTTTTCAAACTCCTGGAGAGGGCACACTTTTGTATGAAATGGTCTTTTATATAACTTGTATACAACAGTTTGGCTTAAAAAGATGCCCTGAGTTGGGATAATCAGACAAAAGCTTTAAGAGCTCGAACAGGTGGTTTAAGAAAGATGTATATTGTTTTCAAAATAAATTTTTAATGTACAACTTGGAGAAATGAGATGCTGTTCTTGTATTATTTATAAAAAAGGGTGAAATTTACTTCTTAAAACCCCCCCCTTTTATAGGAAATTTAACAGGGAAAGTTGCACTAGAATCACAAATTCATGCCTCAGAATGAAATGTCACTTCAGAGCAGTACCCGCTGTGTGCATTGTCCATATGAAGATGGAACCACCACTGGTCTCACAAACCAGTTCTGCCCCAAAAAACAAACCCCAAACACCAAACTAAAAATAAAGGAAATGTTCTTTGTCTCCGATATTACCTCTGGTTTCACAAATGCTGAAGAGGAACACACCAGGTACTCTAGGGTTGGGTTGGTTTCTCCTCCTTTTCAGTAGCTAGATGCCTTGAGTGTCTCAGCACAGGGATTTATGTGGACAGGCCACTGTGGTCCTGTTTCCTTTAATGATTCTGTCTTTCCTGCTTGCTGCAGCTACTTCTAGAGCTGTATGGTACTACTAAGAGCAAGCTTGCAGGGCAGGATTCCTCTGGCAGGATACAGAAAGATGCCTAGTAACTGGTATTACGATTGCCACCCTCAGAGTGTTCTGCACGCAGCTTTTGTACAGAAGGCTGATGAGTGAAGCAGCACACAGAGCTCAGTGAAGAACCTACAGCACAGCTATGCTTGACTGCGGTACTGCACAAATTCCCTCCAGCACAGTAATGGAATCAGAATATATAGTTAGATGAAAGTAAAAATCTTTATTGCTAAGTCAGCTGAAAAGTTGATGCAAAAATATTCCTCCTTCCTGGACTGCTCTATACATTGGAATAAAGCATCAATGGAATAGTGTTTTCCAGCAATCTCATGTTATTTGCCTCCTCAAAGCAATACAAACGTAGGCCACAGTGCTGAAGGTGCATTCATTGGACAATCTACTCCCATAAATGATAGAAATGGGGATTATCACAGGTGCATGCTAGAGCAGGCTACAGAAAATATATTCCTTTTTAAAACAAAACACATGAAAAAAGATTATTTAGTAAACAACTGGTGCGCTGCAATATTTCTTTAACATGCGCTGGGTCATATGAGTCAAGTTAAAAAAAGGTAACATTTTAAAAATGTGGAAAAAGAGGAAAAAATACACGAGAGTCTTCAGACAGCAATGAAACAGCAGACAACGATTGCACAAAACAAAGAGGTGAACCTACTGCCCCAAGAAGGCCTTTGGCAAAGTGACAGGAAAGCCATCACCATCCGGAAGGAGTGCAGAAACTCCTGAAGCCCAGGGGCCGTAGGTGTGGCTGAATGTCCTGTGCACTACGAGAAGGATTTCCGGCCTCACAGCAGCCAGTCTCCAAGAAAGGGAAATACTTGCTCCTTCTTGGAACAGGATTTTATCCTCCCATCTAGTTGAGGATTCTGATCAGGTCCCCACAATTTGTGGTGCTGCTTCCACCAGGCCTGTTTCTGGTGCTGGGAGCAACTTGGAGGCTATCCCTTATCCTTAATACTTGGGCCCCAACTACTCGCCACCGAATATAACCTGTATGGGTTCCTTTTGCAGAAGCCTTTCTGGACAGGACAGGGCAGACAGGTCAGTGTCATTAGAGTACCTGTTGTCAGCAAGCACGCTCATCAGCGGAGCCAGAATTACTGAAGAGACAGACAAACCAACTCACCAGCCTAACTTGAGTGTGGCCGCCTGGAGCACGGCAGGTCTGGCCTTGCTCACCAGGGACAAGAGAGCCTGATGATCCCAAGCTGAGAACCTCTCTCTAATAGCAAGTCTGTTAACGAATGGGACATTCTTAGTGATGTGGCTCTGTGGAGATGATGTATCTGTGCAAGAACCACATACAAAATTCAGGGAAGAGGCTGGAGAACAGGAAAAGAACTGGGAAAACACTTTCTATCCCCTGCTATGAGTCCTTCACAAGACCTGCCCACTCATACCTGTTCCACCTACAGCAGTGCTCCTAGGGAGCTTGACATCTAAGGTGGTGTTAATAAGTAAGGTAAGGAAGACAAAGGAGAAGCTTGCTGCCTCTAAGAAAGCAGGAAAAGAAAGGGTCTTGCTGGAGGGAAGCACTCAGGCTGTGCTGCCCAGAGTAGGACAAACAGTTCATAGTATCAGCTTAAGCAGAGAAAGCTGTGGACTCTGCCTAGTGTAAGAGAACGAGCCATGTTCTACCATGACAGTTCACACCCATAGAAAACAGGAGCTGTCTACATTAAACTCCCTTTTTTGCTTCAAAATCATAAACAGCACTGGAGAAAAAGGCTAAGTAGGAATTCATTGCATTCCATTCTGCCACTATCAAAGAGGAGCAGCTCAGCAATCTGCATGCTCCATTGCAGAGCTTTATTTCACTTAGTCCTTCCCCAGAGCCAGGTAGAGCCACTCTGGACTAACTGCCTGTGGCAATGCCAGCCCTCTGTGCAATGCTACTGGATCAGACTGGCAAGTACACGCTGGATTTTCCACATCAGTGCAAGAAGTAGACCTGATCTGCACTAACATCTGCCACTCTCCTAGTGCAAGGTTTGTCAAAGTCCTACTCAGAAGAATCTGTTTCTGCATCAGTCCCACACTGAACAGAGGCTGCTTTCCAGGCCTGTCAGGTATCAGAACGTGTTGGGCTGGGCAGATATTTGGTAAAATTATCACCAGTGACAGAGTTAAAAGTTACAGTCAAATACATTGGGATGAGCCTCTTCTGCATAGCTATAGGAAGAGAACATGAAAGAGGTTTGGGGTTTAGTTTTTGAATCTTTTCTTTAGTTTCTGAATCTCTGCCTAAGGGATTAAAATGCTGCTGTTTCCGTGATTCTGAGAATTAGCTTTTCTCTCCATTTCCAAATGAAACAGGCATTTAAACAGCCAAAATTTGTCTGAGTTTAAAATTTGGAAAAAGTTGGGTTGTTTCCTGATTATGCTGTAACTAGCAGAAGGCATATCCTAAAATGTTGCGCTCTCATGCATGGTAAAAATATGGTTTTTTTCCTAGTGAGAAGAAATTCAAGGTGCTTTGAAATACCAGTAAAACTTCATTAGATTTTGTCAAAAGATCTATATTGACAGAATCCCACAAGTAGTCTGCACAGTATTTCCTTCTGAGCAAGGCCTGAATTTGATCCAAAAATACACAACTTAAGCTCCTCAGAGCTCTTGAGAAGAAACTTTCAAGTTTTCCTCATAAACACTATTAATAAAGAAGAAAAGGCACTAGCCCACATCACAGCCAGGATTATTGCACCACTGACATGACCGGGGCAGCTGCTGTCCAGCTCTCTGCCAGTTAAGGAAGACAGATCTGCACGCTACAGGGGCAGTGGGCTTTTCACAGCCCTTACACAGGATGACGACATAGGCAGCCAACTTACCCTGCACCAAAAATCCTCATGGAAACACAATGCATCTGCCAAGCACAAACTGGCCAGTTCACCATTAGTGGGACTGTTGTAAACATCTTTTCCAGTGCTGATAAAGATGTTAAGGTGAAACATTCTATTCTTCCTTTTGCATTGAAAGCTAAGCAGAAACAAGTATGCTTTCACCTTGTTTGTGGCCAAATTGGGCACGTACCATGAAATGCAGGTTGCTGTGCATTTGGAATACGACTCCTGTTTTCAGAGGCAAGCAAAGATGCTGTAGCTGACAGTGCAGAGGTTTGTGTTGGTGGAACAGAGCTCTGAATGCTTCTCCAGCACATGACAGGCAGCTCCACTGCTCATTAGCCTTAGAGCAGCATACCACTTACAACGTGGCTTCCTCTTAGACAGAGTACCTCACTGAAACAAGCGTGAGCTCCTGGTTTCATCCCATGTCTTCTGGATACAGGAAGCCTCTACTGTGAAGTATCCACGATGGAGGTGGCCAAGTTGCTGCTGAGCTGAGGCTGTGCTCTGCAGATAGAACTAGCTCTACAAGCTATCTTAATCCACCAGTCCAAAGCTGATCTGTCCTATGCTCCATGTAAAATGCATCAGCAGGCACCTCCTTCTCACTCAGCCGTGTATGTTCTCATCCTGCATAGGCTCTCTACCCTACGCCAGCGCTCATCAGAACACTGTTACCCTGAGTCCTCCACTGCCCTAACAATATCCATTAGGAAAAGCCCCCACCACACCTACTGTGGAGTGATCTCTCCCCTAACCCTAAATAATAAAGTGCTGGGCTGAAGGGGAGCAGAACAGCTTAAGTGCAATCAATAAAAGTGCTTGCAATTAATGTAGGAAACCATT